TTGCAGGGGGTCTAGAATTGGGGAGCAGAGCCCTGCCTAGGGACCCCAAGAGTAAAGGTTTTTCTAATAGCTATTTGGTCTAGGACTGGGGAAGTAGCATTCAAAGCCAAGAAACATAGCCCAGCACCCAAATTCTAAATCCTGGGGTGCGGATCCCTTAGCTCAAGAAACCTCAGGATGATGACCTCCTGTCTAATAGCTTCAGTCAGGGTCTCAGGTCTCCTCAGCTAGGTACCTCTCCTCTATGGGAGCCCCGAGTTAAAAGGATGCACATTTTAATAGAGGACCCTAAATCTCACTGATTTCTCAAGTACTCATAACTTTACATTGGTAATTAGGGGGTTGGGGGCAAGGGTGCTCCCTTGCTCTTTTAATCTTCCCAGAAGGCACAGGAAGGAGTGAGATTAACAGCACTGGGACCAGACTCAGAGCTCTCTCCTTTTTTCTGGGCCAAGCCCTGGATACCTCTGACCCTCACATCCCCCACCCCATCTGTTGGGAAGTTAATGAGTTTACTGTGTAAACATCCTCACGGGCAGCTTCCTGCTGCTCCCGTCTAAGACAACAGCTCTCACTCCAGTCCGCAATGAAACGCAGCCCCGGATCTCACCCACCCCACCTTTCTACTCTCCCGGATTACAGGGGCCATTTCCTGGTTTGGAAGGTTCCTTTTAGGATCTGGGGGAGGTCCCAGGTCTGCTCACTCCCTTCCTTAGTCAGAAACCCTAAATATGGAGGGGCATGGAGACCCAAAGACTTAGTCTCTGCCATATAAGTAATAACTACTCTATTCTGCCTTGAGACCTTCCCTATTCCTACTCACCACTACCCAAGTTCTCTCCCATAATCTTCCAATTGCCTACGGAGCACAGTAGGGGATGTTAAGGAAGGCTGTATTCCAGGGGCTTTCATCAAGGGGCTTTTGGGAGGTGCAGGGAAGGGAGAGGGGCCCATGATTCCTCAGCAAAGGAGACAGACCAGCCTCTATTTTTATTCTTTGTTTCTTTTTTTCCTAGCCCTTATTTTCAAAAGAGCCAGTTAATACCGGGCTCTCCAGCTTCCTTATTTCAACATAAGAGCTTAGTCTTTCTCTACTCTTTCACTCAGCGGGAGCTCTTTTCTCCTTTCCTTAAAAGAGTATTTGCATTTGGTATAACGGGAAAGGATTCTTTGGGCCTCAGTTTCCTCATTTGTAAAATGCAAGGCCTGAGGTCATTTCTAGATCAATGAGGCCCTGGGGAGAAGAGGAGAGAGACTTCTCAGTAGAGAGAATCAATAGGATCCCTAGATGCCGTATAGTTATTTTACAGATAGGGAAACTGAGGACTGGAAAGGGTAAGTCATAATAATAGCTAGCACTTATATAGAGCCCTAAGGTTTGCAGAGTCAGTATGACCTAGTGGATAAAGAACAGGCCTTGAAGTTACAAAGACAAGGTCTTCCTCTGACACGTACTGGCTGTATGACCATGAACAAGGCACCTAATCTCCCAGTGGCCCTAGCAACTCTCTAAGACAAGTTGCAAAGAAGGTGCCAACCTGCATCAGTAGAGGGAGTTTCCTCCCCTGAGAGGTCCCCATCCAATAACATCACAGGTCTATTTAAGCTTTGGAAAGTGCTTTATATACGTTACCTCACTTTCACAACAGCCTGTTGAAATAACAAGGTGCTATGATAACAGAGTACCTACCTTGCAGGGCTGTTGTGAGGATCAAATGAGATAATATTTATTCATTTATTTTTAAAAGCACTTAGCACGGTGCCTGGCACATAATAGGTAGTATACAAATGCTTATTCCCTTACTATTCCCATTTTACAAATGAGAAAACTAAGGACTAGAGTGGAGAAGCGGAAATAGTGATATGTTTATATTGGACTTTCGTGCCTTACAATAATCTCATAAGACGTCAGAGTAGGTATTCTTTCACCCAGTTTCCCAGATGGGGAAACTGAGGCCCAGAAATGTCTTGTCCGAGGGTACATAGCTAGTTAGTGGCTGAGCTGGGATCCCACTGTCCTTACGGTCAGTTTGATGCTGTGTTTGCTATGCCGAGGTCTCTCTTCCTTCCCTTGGATGTCATCCCCTGCTACACCTCCCCATTTCTGAACCCTGTCTGACCATACCCAGATGTGATTCTGTGATACCCCAGAACAAAGGCTCCTTATCAGCCTGAACTTCCCCCCAGTGGAGTTACAGCCCCTGAACCTTGTGCCCCTTTCCACTGTGACTGGGCTATGACCCAGCTGAGCAGCTGGGGATGAAGGACTGAATGGGGAGCTGAAAGTTTCTGCTGAGTTTATTCAGAAGAAAGCTACAATTCAGGTGGAGAGCCGGGAGCCTCCCCACCTTCCTACCCCTGCTGAGAAGGTAGTTGGTGCCTGTGAGCAGCAAGGTGAATCACCACCCCTTCAGCCTTTTCCATTCATCTCCAGGTTGTGCTGGGAAGCTAGGATCAAAGCTGGTCATCTTAAGGGCAGTAGACTGAGAGAGAGTGAGAAGTGCAAAGGATCTAAGAATTCAGCTAATCCAGGCATGTCCCTGAGAATTCACAGAGAAAGAAAGTGAAGAGAAGGCTTTTTTTTCTAGGTTGTCCAAGGGGCGGCAGGGTCCATCCAGAGCCTCTGGAAATCCTTGTCTAATACGGAGCTCATCCTGGAGAGACTGTCACTTACAGTGAGGAGAGACCTTCCCATTCTGAAGACAATATGAAAGAGCACTACTGGGGACTGGCTGGGCACCTGGATGCCAGGCTCCTCTTTGGGTTCCAAGGGAGCCCAAAAGTACAGTGGCCAGTGCATTAAACTGGAAATCAGGAAGCTCTGGATTTGAACCCCAGCTCAGACCTCACTAGCTATCTGGTCCTCGATAAGTCACTCTGCTACTTATTACCTTCATGCCCTAGGCCACCAAGTCACTTCATCTCTCTGAGCCTCAGTTTCCCCATCTATAAAGTGGGGATAATAACAGCACCTACCTCACTGGGGAGTTGTCAGGATTTAATGAGATAACATAAGAAAAGCATTTTGCAGACCTCAAAGGGCTATATAAATGCCAGCTGTTACTATCACAAGCCAAAGAGGGCACTCATCCCCCCTTGTGTTTCTCAGAGTTGTGTCAGACATCAGTTGATTTACAGTATGGAGCTAGGCTGTCTTGCTTCTTTTTCTCATTAGCAGAAAACCACCTCATAGACTTAAAACTGGAAGGGGCCTTAGAAAGAATCTGATTTGACTTCTCCTCCCCTTTCATTTTGCAGATGGGGAAACTGAGGCATAGAGAAATGAAGTGACTTGCCTGAGGTCATTCAGGTAGCAACAGAACTAAGAATAAAACTCAGATCCCCTGACTTAAAAGCCAGTCCTCTGCCCCGTATTCTTCTGCAAATTCATTCATTCATTCATTCATTCATTCATTCATTCATTCATTCATTCATTCAGCTAACATTCATTGAGGACCTATTCCCGTGCTGTGCAGGCAATCAAAAGTGTATAAGGCATAATCTCCACCCTCAAGGAGCTTACTGTCTAAGGAGTCATTTACAATCTAGCCAGCACCCTATTAGCAACCTCACCTTTCCCTTCCCTAACAGGGGTCAATTTCCCCTGTTGGGAGGGGGTACAGGGTGGGATTACCCCCCCCCCCAAGATGCCAGGGTACTGGGCTCTCTGCTTCTTCTGGAAAAGTTCTCAGAGTCCAGTTGCTGGCTTGGTACCTAGGGTAGTTGGGTCCTGAGAAAGGCCTGGGTGGCCTGGAGGACCCAGGGGAACTTGGCCCCTAGATGAATTAACCTGCAGAGATCTTGTCTGGACCTATTTCCAAGCCACAGGCAGACCTCCAAACCACACAGGGTCCTGAAATTTCAACTGGGCAGGTCCCTCCAAAGCCAAATATTTTCTCCCGTGACTGAGCCCACGCCCTGCCCCCATCCCCCTCCACTTACCATCAGGGCCTTAGGGCCAAGCCTGCTGGAGGGAGGACACATTTCCTTGGGGGGTGGGGAAGAGAGAATGCCAGCGTTCTCTGCCCACTGCCATCCTTTTCTTACAAAGGGGTGTGCAGGGCTGGTCCCTGAGCTCTGTCCTGGGGGTCTTGTTATTCTGCCCTGGGTTGGTGAGGAGTCGGCAGGCAACATCTCCCAAACGACTGGCCTGGCATCGATCCAGGTTATGTCCCCAAAGGGGAGCCAGGCTCAGCCTTTCTCTGGCTTTCAGCAGACTACCCTCTCCTACCTCCCCCCAAGATCAGACTGCGCCCTTTGCTCTAGGGGACAAAAGGGGGAGATAGGGTGGGGACAGGGACAGGGTGGGGGGAGGGAAGGGGAATCATCCGAGCTTCTTTCCTCGGGTCAGAACGGCCCTATTGCCACGAGAGACCTTCTCCCCACCCTTCCCTCGGAAGCTACGGAGTCCCTGGAGCTAGGTAGAAATGCAACCTCAGACGGCACCCCCGGGGTTAGAGCTGGAGTCGGGGCAGCGGTTAGATCTCAACCTCTTGGAGTCGGGTTCCCAGGCCAATTGGCCTTGAAAGGAAACCAGGTTCCAAGTGGGGGGAGGTGAGGGAAAGGATCACAACTGCCCCCTCCCAGGGCGGTCCATTGTTTGCACTGCCAGCATCCACCCCCTCCGCGACTGGCCAAGGGGCTGGAATGGGTGACATGTCTAAGCGCCAGCGAGCTGACCCCAAGGGTGGCTCTGGGCTCTGGTACTGCTTCCCTCCTACCCCAGCCTCCTTCCCTAGGTCACCTCATTTTTCCACTCGGGCTATAAATGCTACTCCCACCCGTCCTGCCCCTCCCTCTAGGAGGCTGGCCCCCGCACAGGTCGCAGCTGCTGTACCCCGGGGGGCGCCAGACGGCGCCAGGGGGTTAGAGCTGGGTCCTCTGCCTGCCTCCGTGGTGTGTGTGTGTGTGTGTGTGCGCGCGCGCGCGCGCTAGCCGGCGCGCGCTCAGCAGCTGGGGAGACGAGTGGCCGCGGGGCGCAGACCCCTTGCCTTCCTTACCGCATTGCTCAGGAAATCCGCCTCGTTCAGATCGCCCAGGTCCAGAAAGCTGGAGCCTGGGAAAAGCCTGTCTGCTGGGAAGGGTTCTAATACGGCGTCCATGGTGTCTGGCTTCGGGGGCCCCCGGGAGGTGATGCGGGCAGAACACCCCCTTTCCTGCCCGACTCAGTCAGTCCAGCGCTGCGGCGCGTCCGGGCCACCAAGCTCGCCTTCAGGCTGGCAGCTCTCCAGCAAGCCCCCGGCAACCCTGGGGTCTCGTCTGGCCGGGGGCGACGGCGACAGCGGTGCAGCCGGAGTGTGGGCTCAGGGCGCTGGAGCCGGGACGCTCAGGGCATCCGTAAGCCGCCGGCAGGGCAGCGGGGCTCCCGGCTCACGGTGGGCATCTCTCCTCCACCCCGGGCAAAGCTAGATTCCATGAGGAGCAGCTGGGGCCAGAGACGTGGGGGCTCCCGCCCCTCCCAGGGGCTGGGCGGGAGCCGGGAACGGGGGAGCTGCGGACTCCCCCGGGACTGGGTGGGAGCCGAGCTCCAGCTCTCTCCTCTCCGGCTCCCGGCTCCCTCGGTGCGTTTCTCCCCTCCGCACTCTACTGTCACTTTCCTCGTCTCCAAAGCCGGGAAACCCAAGCTCCGCCAGCCTGGCTTGGTTGCCACGCCCCCACCTCCTCAATATTCAGGAGCCTCCTTAGTAGTAATGAGATTGGGGGTGTGCCTTATCTCCCAGACCCATCCCTTAAAGAGGCAGCAACGTCGACGACCAATCCTTTCATTCCTTTTCTCTGCGCGGAAAGCTTGCCCTCAAACGAGGGCAGTGATTAATGATGATTTGAGACGCCGTGGTACTCGAAGGGAAATCAGTCCCAGGCACAGGACAGAGAGGCCTTCAGCTAAGGGGTCCTCAGCAGGTGGCCACAGACCCCCAGCTTCTTCGCCGCCGTGCCAGCCTCCCTCCCCCGGCAATAATTGGCAAGTGCCAGGCATTTCCGTTCCAGCCGTTTTATGGTAACAGCAGCAGAAAGGAACCGAGAGTTAGAAAATTCCAGGTCATTGTTCCTTCATCAGACAGGATATGTTTATATCCTGGCAGAGCCTAGCAGAATGCCTTGCACGTAGTAGGGACTCAATTCTGTTCAACTGAACAAAATCTTTTCACCAGCACTACTTTAGCCGGTCTTAGATGTAGTTCATGACATCATAGGTTTAGTCATGGGGAAAAAAACCCAAAAAAACCAAACCAGAGGTTTTTAAGTCCAGTCTGTCATTTCACCAATAAGGAAACTGAGGCAGAGGGAAGGAAAATGATTTGCCCAAGAGCCTACATCCTCTGACTGGGTGCTAAGAAATGGGTAGCGTAGGCAGCAAGGTGGCTCGGTGGATAGGCCACTGGGCCTGGCATCAGGAATATATGAGTTCAAATCTGACCTCAGACACCAGTTATGTGACCCTGGGTAAGTCATTTAACCTCTGTTTGCCTTAATCCACTGGAGAAGGAAATGGCAAGCCACTCCACTATCTTTGCCAAGAAAACCCCGAGGACAGTATGGTCCACAGGAGTCATGAAGAGTCAGACACCATTGAACGAGAAGCAGAGGCTGAAGATCCCCGAAAAGAGATTGAATTCAATTTGATTCAGCATTTATTGAATACCTACTGTGTTCAAGGTTCTCTGCCAGGTGGGGGAGAAATGGATTGTGTTCTAGTTGTTGAAAGAAGAGTGACATGGAATTCCTCAACTCCAAATGCTCTTTCTAAGGTCTTTTCTAGCTATAAGGAGAGCAGCATGGATTTATGATGCCTTTTGGAAAACCAGGGTTCAGTTTAGACGACCCAAGTCTGTGGCCTTGAGCAAATCAGCTCATCTCTCATGTTCCTTTTCTTAGCTGGAGACAAAGAACAGCAGTGTCCTAGTGAATGGGAGAGTGCTGGACCTAGAATCAGGAAGACCTGGGTTTAAATCTCACTCGAGACACTTCTTATTGACTGTTACCTTGCTGGTAAGGCGAAGGGCTAACATTTGCAGGGACTGCCTCACAAAAGTTGTCCTGAATATCAAATGATAATCATGGGAGGAAAATATCTCTGTAACCTGCATGGAGAGCCTGTCTTTGCTGATGAAAGCACCTCCCAGGAAGTCCTGGAAGGGACATTGAAGATCACCTAATCTATCTTACAGATGAGGGTACTGAGGCTCAGAAATGACAAGAATTGTTTAACACAGTCCCCAACACATAGAAGGCTTGGAATAAATGTTGATTAATTGACCAAAGGACAAGGAAGTCCTTTCTTGGCATTTCTGTCTTGGCCCTCAGAATTTCGCCACCTTCCCCTGCATTTAGCCAGTTCCCCAGAACTAAATGGGGGACATTCTAGTTCATAAAACAGCAAACCCACCTGGAGAAGCCACTCTACAGTCAGCTGACAGCCCCCCCCACCTCCTGGTTGTGAAAAAACAGGAAGAGAGAAAACAATAGCAGATCAGGAGGAGCTGATTGGTTCTCCCGTACCCTTCAACTCCCTGGCACTTCACACATACACTCCCCACGATCCATCATCGAAGGCACCAGCTCCCAGGAACAGCTTAATCTCCTGTAAAGGATTGATAAACAATAGCTGGGCACCTGAGCAAACAGGGTGTTGTCTGGAAGGGTGGCCCTCTAAAGGTGCAGGGTGCATAGTTTCTGCCCAGAAGCCATTAATAGGATTAAATTCTGTCTTTGCCTGTGGTTTTTAATGGGCATAGGAACTGAAAGTTCTTTCAGGAATCTGTGTATCGCTAAAGGTGTGAATGTCTGCTCTTGTTACACTTCTTTGTAAAAGCATGAGGTCTGGAGAAGGGGTGGGAGTGGGAGTCAGGCCAGGGTTTAGAGATGCCTGTTGTTCTACCAAAGCTTATGGTCTGATTATGTGTCATTCATTCATTGACTCATACATTTTCATTCAGCAGACATTAAATGCCTATTTCAAGGGTGAGAGGAAGGGTATTCTAGGTAAAAGGGAAAGACGATAAGTCCAGGACATATTGAAGGGCAGCACATATCCAGGCTGGCTGGAGTACAGAGAGTCATATGGAGAGTTATAAAGAAGGCTGGGAAGTTGGATAATCAAAGATTTTGGAGGACCTCTAATGCCAGGCAAAGAAGTTGAAACTTAGCCTGGTGGGCAATGGGGCGTCATTGAAGATCTGTGAGCAGAGTAAGGACATGACCAGCTCAATGCACAAGAGAGATGAATCTATCAGTGGAGTGAAGGATTGATGGCAGGGCAGGAGAATTCAGAGAAGGCCTGTTAGGAGTCTGACAGGCCTCACTGGCCAGGTGATGGCCCCAGAAGCAGGGGAAGGGATGGAGGAGAGAGCTTTTCAAGAACTGAAATCAATAGAGACTAGTGACGGCTTGGATGAGGTGATGGAGAAAGAAGAGCTGAAACCCAAAGTCTGGGACATGGGAGGCAGGATTGCCCTGGATAGAAATGATGAAGGCAGGTCAGTTCTGAACCCCATCGGAAGATCATAGTATCACAGACCTAGAGCTGAAGGGAAACTTTTCACACATGAGGAAACTGAGGCTTAGGTAACTTGTGTGACTTCCCCAAAGCCACTGTGGTAGTAAGCATCTTTCCAAAACAGGATTTGAACCCAGATCCAGAGCCAGTGCTTATTACTGGAACCATCATGAGGGGCCTAAGAGGCCATCTCTTTATTATTGGGATAACATCCAGACAGGACTGTCCAGCTGTGGGACATGCGGGGGTGGGGCTTGGAAGAGATAGCAGAACTAGAGATGGAGGTTTGGGAGCCATCTGCCCAGTGGTGGGGGATAAAGGAGGATGCTGTGTCATGGGACCCTGTTGCTGCAGCCGCAAAAATGGAGAAGCGAATGTCTAGATGCCTGAAACCAGTCAGATCCTCCTTTGGGCACCAGGGAGGCACAGCTGGTACTCATTCTCCCCAGAATCATTCCAGCTGTCCAAATAGGAAAACTCCCTTTGGGCTGATGGACTTGATGGGGGGAACGCTTTCCCCCAAAGGGCTGAACTTCCTGTATTGCTTCAGCAGGTGTCCTGGGCAGGGACTGGGGTCCACAGGATGGGCCACAAGAACCCTTCTGCCTAAGGGTAACTGGAAAGTGGGCCACATTCCTCCTGGTCTGCTCTGTAATTAGACACACAGGCACCATTTAAGTGATTGGGGAAGATTACAGAGTTTCAGAGAAATAGGATTAGAGTTTCCTCTTTCTTGATTTGTACCCAGGTGAACATGGTAGGAAGTCATCTAAATTAATCCTGTGGAGACACTCTGGTCTCTGTACCTCTGTGAAGTCTGTGAGAGGGGGAGCTCCCAGGAGGAGAGGAGGGAAGGGAAGGGAAAGGGAGGGGAGGAGAGGGGAAGGGAAGGGAAGGGAGGGAGGGGAGGGGAGGAGAGGGGAGAGGAAGTGAGGAGAGGGGAGAGGAGGGGAGGGGAGGGGAAGGAAGGAGAAAGAAGAGAAATGGAGTCAAGTGGAGGTGCTTGGATCCAATTGCATCCAGTCCAATCCAGAAAGCATCTACTAGGAGGCTGCTATGTGCTAGGCCATGGCTAGGTGCTGACCCTAAAAAGGCCAAGTGATAAAATGGTGCCTCCCTTCAAGAAGCTTCCATTCTACAGGAGGTGTACATAAATGAGAAAATACATAAGAAGCAATGGGATATGGTGGATACAGGGATGATGTTGGAGCTGGGGAGAGTTAGGCTGTGTGACCCTGGGCAAGTCACTTAACCTCTTAGTGCTCGAGACATTAAGTACCACAATAATTTCTAAAAGGAAATGATAGAAGTTTTTGAAGTGGAATTATATCACAATAAATTTTTAAAAAGAATTGATGACATGTTCACGTATACACACATAGATGTACCTATATGTCTACACGTGTATATATGCATACACACATACATATATGTAGGTAGGTCAGTAATGAGAGTAAAACCAAAGTGTGTATGGCGCACCAGAAGTGACCCATGGTCCAGCAGACATCAGTAACCTGTTTGTCCACAAAACATATATATGTAACACCCCTTCTGGGCTATACCTCTATCTAGTAAGCTCACACAAGGGCTGGATTCCCAGAAGGCACCTGCTACTACCAGGTTCTAGGGGTGACCCTGAGGGTGTATACTCTAATATTAGAATAGCTCATAAGCCTCATTGGTGGGCTCACCACTAACTATCAGCCAGGAGACACAATCGTGTCCAACTCTTTGTGACCCCATTTGGTGTTTTCTTGACAAAGATGGCTTCTCCAGCTCATTTTACAGATGAGAAACTGAGGCAAGTAGAAGTTAAGTGACTTGCCCAAGGTCACTCAACCGGTAAATATCCAAGTTTGGATTTGAACTCATGTCCTGCTGACTCCAGACCCAGTGTTCTATCCACTGTTTTCTAATCTATGCATTCACTGCACTAATACAATTCCTATCCATAGGTCCAATCCCTACACGTAGAGATATAGACATCTATACCAATCAACAGATATTTATTACTTACTAATTTAAGCATTGAGAATACAGTCGGAAGAAAAACATGCCTTCATTCACATTCTAATGGAGGAGATAACTT